TTGTACAGTGTCTCTTGATGAAGTGCCAGATGATTGCTCTGCACTTGTCGATTGAGGAAGAGCTCAGTGGAAGCTGGCCTGGAGTTCGCAGTGCCCACGCTCATCCAGATGTACTCCAAGTGCCACTGCCTTAAAGAATCAAACATGCACGGAAAGAGTTACGACTACCGGTCGTGCTGCATGGACCATGATCAAGGTTTCCAAGCTGCAGTTCGCGATGTGACTGTCAGAATAAATTATAACTGGTGCTTGTTAGCTTACCAACAGCATGAGCATGTAGGCCTTCCATAAACACTGTGAACACTACAGTTGGGTGTTGTATACAAAATGAGCGAAAAAAAGGAGTTACCAGATGCGCAAAACGTTCTAGCTGCTCGCCAAACTCGATGAGCAGCTCAAGGACTTCCCTTGGAGCGTGAATCAGAGCAAAGAGCGGCACTGGGCACCAGAGTAGGAAACGACTTGTTGACAAGCTCAGAGCAGCATCTTATGATAAGGGATAGCAAGACTCCGTTGGCGATGGAATCATCGACAACTGCTCCAAAGCACCCCTGAATAAAGCAGTTCCAAGTGAATTAGCTAGCCTACCGTGACCAAGCAGGACCCCGAAAGCTCCACTGCTTGCATCGTAGGCTCTGGCAGCGGAACATTCTTCAAACCACTGGCAGCAAAAGCAAAGTCAGCCAGCTCCTTTCTCTACTTGCGAAGCTTACCCGGATTTCACATCCTTCCGCTTGATCGCCAACAGGATGTGCCATCAATGAAAGCAAATACCTTAACAGGGTTTCGCTTTATATGTTAAACTTTACCCTTCCTTAAAGAGAGTAATTTTGTCCCTCCTTTTGATTAACTTAAGCTGACACCGAACACATCTTTTATTTCATGAAGACCTTGGGAGAAGCAAGCAACAGAGTCAGAGTCAGGCTGTTTTCTAGCCTGAATACGTTGGGCAGTTTGAGACGCTGCACGGTGCATCACAGATGCATCTTCCAAACAGGGTGCAGCTCCCGCCCTTGCACTTGACGCATCGCTGGCCCGCCTGGAAGAAATGGCAAGACTTGCAATAGGAGTTGCAGCTCAATCCTCCCGGCAGGCATGCATTCTCGCGGAAGCACTGCTGCTGCGCCTCCACCTCCGTAGCCACCGCCGCCAGCGCCAAGAGCACCAGGAACATCACTCCAAATCGCCTCATCGAAGAGCAAAGTAAGAGCAAAGCAAACCTCTAAATTGGCGATCGATCTCGAGAAAAGCTTGCGAATTTATACCACTGAGTGCTGAGATGATCCGGAGCTTCCGAGTTACTTCCTGGGGTCCCATCTTTCCATCTTTCAAGTCGCAAAGACTTTAATCACGCTGGTCTGCCCACCAAACTCGCCAACTTGTCAAAAAAACGCGACCATTTTCAAGTCACTGGCACGCCACCATTCTGCTCAGACTTTTGTACAATTTTCCGTGCTTATCCACTCGGCCCGAAGTCTTCCGTGGACCAGAAAAGAAGCCGCTCGGGATTCTCGGCTAAAACTTCGACAGCGCCCGACATTGCGAAGTCATACCAAGGAAGTCGTCGCAGGAACCAAGACCATTTCCTTCTTTGCCACCGCATGGTTTCTTCGCAAGCTTAGAATCCTTTCAGACTATATCATTGTCACAATGTCAACAGGCTATAGAAAAGTCCTCAAGAGAAGTTTTTCTGCATGGTTTTCGAGGATCACACTCAAGAAACTCCATCTAAGTTGGATGATCCATAGCACAGATATTGGATAAGATCATATGAGCGGAGTCACTGCCAAGATCCATCTCCAGAACGCAAGCAGCCGCGCACTCGCCCAGCTCCACGTCCGAGTGGATCCTGCAAGCGCTCAACACCGCCTTCCACAGCTCGGAGCTCGACGTGGATGGAGCCACCACCCGGATCAAATCCTCCGCAATCCACGACCCCGCTCGGCCCAGGAGATCCACCACACACCCCTGCTGCTCGCGCGATGGAACCATCCCATAGTCACTCGCGATGGAGGCAAAGCACTGGCAGCCCTGCTCGACGAGACCCGCGTGGCTGTATGCCGAGAGCACGCTCACCAAGCTCACCTCGCTCAGACAAACGCCCTCCAGCTGCATCGCCCGGAAGCACCACAGGCTCCAGGCGGTATGCCCGGCTGGGGCATACGCCGCCACCATAGTGTTCCACGAAACTGTGTCTCGCTGCCTCATCCTGTCGAAGATCTCCGCTGTCTCGACGATCTCGGCACACTTGCCGTAGAGGTCCAGCACCGCGTTGGCCACCGCCCTCTCAGCGTCCACGATCTTTGCTCGGACCACTCTCCCGGCCTCCAAGTTCTCGGCTCTCGCACAGGCTTCCAGAGCGGTGGCGAAGACAACGCCATCTGGCGGGACTGTTATGCGGAAGAAGAGAGCGATGGCTTCCTGGGGTCGACCGTTCTGAGCATAGACCGAGATCATCACAGTCCATGCTACCACGTCCGAGGATGGACTCCGGCTGAAAGCGTCCCTCAGAACGAAGTGTCCGTTCTGAGAGTAAGCCGACAGCATCGCGTTCCAGGAAACGATGTTCTTGTTGTGAGTCGCATCGAAAACTCTCCGAGCTTCGCAAGGCTGGCTGCTGCCGCCAAACATGTTGATGAGAGCGTTGCCGAGAGCTACGTCCAGTTGGACCCCACTCTCCTGGCGGCAAGCTTCGAGGTACTTTGCTTCCGGAGGAGTTCTCGCTCCCTGGCTGGCATTGATGAACGTAACCGTGTCGGGAACCAAGCCTTGGAGAGCAAGCTTCGAAACGTTTGAAGAGCTCCACTCGCATCTCTGCTGCTGGCCAAAGCTCTGATGAAAGAGTTCCAAGACACCACGTTGGTCTTGTCCGTCATGGAGCTAATCACTGTCCTTGCAGCACTGACGTTCTTGCATTTGCCATACGCGTCCACGAGAGAGGACTCTACCATGGCGTTGAACTGGAACCCGCTCTCAAAGAGCAACCGATGCACAAAACCAGCCTGTGACGAGCTCGAGCAACTTTAACAGGCCACCCCAACCACTTTAACCCTTCGTGGCCAGCCTGAGTCAAGTGGACGAGTGGACCGAAACAACTACAATCGTCGGTGAGAAGGCTTGGATCCGTGCTTTCTAAGTTAACTCTTGAAACATTTAATCCAGGTGACGAGAACATTCGGGAGCTTGTTTCCAAGAAAGAAGTCACGAAGGCTGGCCGGACAAAGACCGGACAAAGCTGGCCGGAGAAGAGCAAGGCTTGAGACAGAACCTCAGCGCTTCCACAATGGCTATCATGCCAGCATCTTGTGCTTCAGCTCCTACAATACGAAACAAAAAGAAAGAGGAAAACTTGTTTGACGGATGAAACAAATTTACATACCTTGCGAGTATTGTGATGCTGCAGCTATCCGGCAGATTTCACACACCTGAGGTGTGACAGGCAGCATATACAGCCGGTTGTCCGGGCTTCTCTGAAAAATGGTGGCTTCTCTTTCTAAGAGGTCCTGAGCACCCACGGTCTTCTCTTGTACCATATTACAGACAGGAAGTATTGTGTTGGCAGAATACTCGAATGCTGCGGCCGGATGTTGCTCCCTCGCAGCAGCAGCTTCCTACAAATTATTCGTGAGATTTTTTCCAGACTGCCAAACTTGCCTATGAAATGCTAAGCTGCTGCTTACCATATTAGCTCGGATCAACGCCGTGTAAACAGATTCCAGCTCCCTGCGGCGGGCGTCGAACTCCTCGATTCTTTTCCGCCTCAGGGATTCCTCCGCTTGTTTTCTTTCTTCGCATAGCTTTTTCGAACGTTGAACCTCCGACGTGAGTGTCGCTACGCTTGCCTTGACACCAGCTAACTGCCGCTCCTTGGCCCACACCTCGCACTAAGTAACACACGGCTCAGCTCGACGGACGAAATAGAAGATGAGTTACCTCCAGTTGGCGAAGCCCTCCCTCGTTCTGGACGTAGTCGAGCTCCGTTCCACCACTGAGCGACTTGATTAACTTGTCGCTTGCAGCTTTGGCCTCTGCAGCTTCGTTCAAAGCTTCTTCCGTTGCCATAAACTGCTGAACATGAGCTTTCTGCAACGCAAAAGACACTTTCATGACTAGAAGAAAGACAAAAACCTTGCATTCCCTGTCTCTCGCGAATCTCCCAATTCGTTCTCCTATTAGACATCTCCAATCCAACTTTACCGCTAAGCTTCTTGCCAAGTGGTGAATCTTCTGGCTCAGTGGACAAATCATCCACTATTTCGTTGTTCTCGTACTTGTACCTGGTGGTACAAACACCAAGTTAGATTCCTATACTTCATGCAGATCAGCAGCACTCACAAACCTTAGCTTCTCTGCGTCCGCTCGGATGTCGATCCTCTCCGTTACTTTGGTGATCGACTCAAGCAGGAGTATAAGAAAGGCATGCGAGCTGCTATCGCGACAGCTTACTGAGAAGATCACGCTCTCGTTTCCCTCGTACGGAGGAGGAGAGAGCCACAGGCCGTCGAGGTTGCAAAGCTCGGGTTCTTGCAGGCGATGTTCCTGCGCAGTCTCTATGAGGATCTGATCGTCACCTTTGATCGGCGTTGCATACACGGTGTCTTGCTCTTTCTTGGACTCCGCAAGCTTCCTTCTTTGTGCCTCTCAAGCACGGTCAACATACCTTGCTAATCTTCGCCGGTACTCGGCAATGATCTGCACAAGCTGGACTTGTTTGTGCCTGGTTTCCAAGAGAGAAAAAAGAGAAAAAAGTAAGAACTTTGAAAGATCTCAAGAATTTGGAAGGATCTGTAGCCGATCTCCTCTTGTAGCCATGCCAGGATCGCCTCCGACTGTCTGCATTTGCCCGAATCAACAGTGTTCGCTGCTACTAGAATGCAGTATCCCAAAATGCCAGCGCCGACGCCGAGATCCGGGCCTCACCCCTGCGCTCAACAACTAGGACGATCACTAAGCCCTAGACCCTCATGGAGTTTATACGTCTTTAGGGTTCTATAGAAACTTGCAGTTTATCTACCGTACAGTCTCTTACATGCGTTAGAGCTCGGAAGGAAGGCCGTTTTCCACAATAAACTTGGGGTCCTTCGTCGCCAGTAGAGCATGCTCTAGGTAGGGAACCGCACTTCTACGCGTTATAGAAGCACCACGATCAACTTTGACCTCCATAGATTGCGGGTTTAGCTCTTTGAACCACGCATTTAAGCTCCTCCGCACCAAAACGTTTCGCCTGAGTGAGTCTCGCAGGGACAAATCACAAAGAAGCTCTCGTCTTACCATCTTTAACATGAGGCTCAGGTACAGGTATACAGTACACGCCACCTTGTAGCACGCAAAATATGAGCTCAGTATTTCAACGTTTCTTGCACATGATCATCTTTACCATCCGTAACTGCTGGTCGACTCCCCGATTAGAGCAAACCTGGAGGAACTGTTGGCTGGTTTCATCAGAGCCCGGATAGATGGCAAAAGCAAACAGCAGATTCATTATGTCCCTGAGTAACTCGAACGTCGACTCGTGGATCTGAATATCAACTAACAAGCACGATTAACTTAGTTGCAAATACATGTAACTCACCTTTACGAGCTTCAACGTAGAATCATAGCACTGACTTGTAGAAACAAGGCGATCACGATTTAATGCCAACTCGATAATGTCAAATGCCCCTCGGATCAGCCGAGGTGGCCATGAACGCCCCTGCCATTTTAAACACCTCCTGCAAGCCCATGCCGGATAGCGCTGAGAGTCTACGGAAAAGCACGAATGAATGATCCGGCCTCACCAAGGCAAGCTCTTCCACAATAGACAAGTGCAGAGCAATCTTCTGGCACTTCATCAAGAGACACTGTACAAAAGAATCAGATCGAACATGGAGTTACTACTACCGGTCGTGCTGCATGGACCAACAATAGTTCGCAACCTGATCAAGGTTTCCGAGCTGCAGTTCGGGAGAAGGGCGGCTCTCGCCTGCGATGTGACAGTCGGAATAAATCATAACTGGTGCTTGTTAGCTTACCAACAGCATAGGCCTTCCATAAACCCTGTGAACACCATAGTTGGGTGTTGCATACAAAATGAGCGAAAAAAAGGAGTTACCAGATGCGCAAAACGTTCTAGCTGCTCGCCAAACCCGATGAGCAGCTCCAGGACTTCGCCCTTGGAGCGTGAATCAAAGCAAAGAGCGAAACTGAGCGAAACTGAGCGAAACTGAGTAGGAAACGACTTGTTGTCAAGCTCAGAGCAGCATCTTATGATAAGGGATAGCAAGACTCCATTGGTAATGAAATCATCTCCAAAGCACCCGTGAATAAAGCAGAAATGAATCTCTAGCTAGCCTACCATGACCAAGCAAGACCCCCTGAAAGCTCCACTGCTTGCATTCTGGCGTGAAACATTCTTCAAACCACTGGCAGCAAAACCAAAATCAGCCAGCTCCTTTCTCTACTTGAGAAGCTTACCCGGATAAGTAAACTGGATTTCACATCCTTCCGCTTGATTGCCAACAGGATTTCCACTGTGCCGTCTGTGAAAGCAAAGAGGCTTAACGACTACTTTTGTCCTTAACATAAGCTGACACTTTTATTTCATCACCTTGCGAGAAGCAAGCAACAGAGTCAGGCTGTTTTCTAGCCTGAGAGCATTGGGCAGTTTGAGAAGCTGCATGGTGCATCACAGATGCATCTTAAGAAGATATCGCAGCTCCCGCCCTTGCACTTGACGCATCGCTGGCCCTCTTGGAAGAAATGGCAAGACTTGCAGTAGGTATCACAGTCCAATCCTCCCGGCAGGCATGCGCTCTCGCGGAAGCACTGCTGCTGCGCCTCCACCTCCGTGGCCACCGCCGCCAGCGCCAAGAGCACCAGGAACATCACTCCAAATCGCCTCATCGTAGAGCAAAGCAAACCTCTAAATCGGCGATCGATCTCGAGAAAAGCTTGCGATTTTATATCACCGAGTGATGAGATGATCCGGAGCTTCCGACAAAGACTTTAATCACGCTGGTCTTCCCACCAAACTCGCCACATGACTTGTCAAAAAAAACGCGACCATTTTCAAGTCGCTGGCACGCCACCATTCTGTCCAGACTTTTGTACAATTTTCCGTGCTTATCCACTCGCCGAAGTCTTCCGAGGATGCATCACCAGAAAAGAAACCGCTCGGGATTCTCGGCTAAACCTTCGATACCGCCCGACATTGCGAAATCATACCAAGGAAGTCGTCGCAGGAACCAAGATCATGTCCTTCTTTGCCACCGCATGGTTTCTTCGCAAGCTTAGAATCCTTTCAGACTATATCCTTGTCACAATGTCAACAAGCTATAGAAAAGTCCTCAAGAGAAGCTTCTCTGCATGGTTTTCGAGGATCACACTCAAGAAACTCCATCTAAGTTGGATGATCCATAGCATAGATGTTGGACAAGATGATATGAGCGGAGTCACTGCCAGGATCCATCTCCAGAACACAAGCAGCCGCGCACTCGCCCAGCTCCACGTCCGAGTGGATCCTGCAAGCGCTCAACACCGCCTTCCACAGCTCGGACCTCGACGTGGATGGAGCCACCACCCGGATCAAATCCTCCGCAATCCACGACCCCGCTCGGCCCAGGAGATCCACCACACACCCCTGCTGCTCGCGCGATGGAACCATCCCATAGTCGCTCGCGATGGAGGCGAAGCACTGGCAGCCCTGCTCGACGAGACCCGCGTGGCTGTATGTCGAGAGCGCGCTCACCAAGCTCACCTCGCTCGGACAAACGCCCTCCAGCTGCATCGCCCGGAAGCACCACAGGCTCCCGGCGGTATGCCCGGCTCGGGCATACGCCGCCACCATAGTGTTCCACGAAACTCTGTCTCGCTGCCTCATCCTGCCGAAGATCTCCGCTGTCTCGACGATCTCGGCACACTTGCCGTAGAGGTCCAGCACCGCGTTGGCCACCGCCCTCTCAGCGTCCAGCCCGAGCTCCACGATCTGTGCTCGGACCACTCTTCCGGCCTCCAAGTTCTCGGAACTCGCACAGGCTCCCAGGACGGTGGCGAAGGCCACGCCATCTGGAGGCACTGTCATGCGGAAGAAGAGAGCGATGGCTTCCTGGGGTCGACCGTTCTGAGCATAGGCCGAGATCATCACAGTCCACGCTACCACGTCCGAGGATGGACTCCGGCTGAAAATGTCCCTGGCTTCTTCGAGGCAGTGGCACTTGGAGTACATCTGGATGAGCGTCGCAGCTACGGGCACTGCGAACTCCAGGCCAGCTTCCACTGCTGCTGCGTGCGCTAGCTTTCCTTCCCGGAGGTTCTCGAGGTTCGCACACGAGCTTAGAACCGACGCGAACGTAAGCTTATCGGGCTTCACCGTCTTGGTCGAGGCCATCTGTTTGAAGAGTGCGATCGTCTCCTCGAAGTGTCCGTTCTGAGAGTAAGCCGACAGCATCGCGTTCCAGGAGACGATGTTCTTGTTGTGAGTCGCATCGAAAACTCTCCGAGCTTCGCAAGGCTGGCTGCTGCCGCCAAACATGTTGATGAGAGTGTTGCCGAGAGCTACGTCCAGTTGAACCCCACTCTCCTGGCGGCAAGCTTCGAGGTACTTTGCTTCCGGAGGAGTTTTCGCTCCCTGGCTGGCATTGATGAACGTAACCGTGTCGGGAACCAAGCCTTGGAGCAGCAAGCTTCGAAACGTTTGAAGAGCTCCACTCGCATCTCTGCTGCTGGCCAAAGCTCTGATGAAAGCGTTCCAAGTCACCACGTTGGTCTTGTCCGTCATGGAGCTAAACACTGCCCTTGCAGCACTGACGTTCTTGCATTTGCCATACGCGTCCACGAGAGAGGACTCTACCTTGGCGGTGAACTGGAACCCGCTCTCAAAGAGCAACCGATGAACAAAAGCAGCCTCTGACGAGCTCGAGCAAGCGTTGAGTATAGCCAGAAAAGTCACCTTGTTTGGCACCACCCCCTCCACCAGCATCTTCCCAAAGACTTGAAATGCCTGTCGGGTATGCCCGTTTTGGGCATACGCAGAGACCATCAACGTCCAGGTGATGATATCCCGCTCCAAAACTCTGTCAAACACTACCTTTGCCGATTCCACGCACCCAAACTTCCCATACATGTTGATCGCTGCGTTTCCAGCAACACGGTCGGAGCCACTCGTTGCCTCTGATAAACACGCGTGAGCCAGCTTTCCCTGTGCGAGGCTCGAGCAACCACTGCTCAAGACTCTCACCAGCAGGAACTTGTTGGGAGCGATGCCGTCCTGCTGCATTTTCCGGAAGAGAAAAAATGCCGCTGCCCGCTGCCCATTCTGGACATACCCCGTGATGATCCCACTCCATGTCCCCAGCCCCGAGCAAGAGTTCCTGTTGAGTACTTGGTGAGCTTCGCTGAAACATCCAAGCCTCACGTACGTCGCCACGAGCTGGTTCGCTAGCGACGCTTCCAGCCCGTGCTTGGAGATGTGGGAGTGAACGTGGCGAGCGACATCCACGTCCAGGCACTGCAGGAGCAAGGACGAAAGAACCTCCAGACTTGGTTGGGTTACTTCTTCCTTTGCTGCGTGGTTGGAATAGCATCTTTTCCGTCTTCTCAGCCTCTGCTGCCATTTCAATCGCCTGGAAGTAAGAAACATGAGACTCCCGCAACAATTCTATGAGAGGAAATTCATTGACCTTTACTGATATCTCCCGCATGCAAGCTTCTCGAGTGCCTTTTGCAATGCTTGGATTTCTTTCGTCACTGACCCGACAATCTTGTCAACTCGAGGTCCCTGGCGATTCTCTTTAGCATAGTCTGCTGTTATCGCCAGCGGAGTCTGTGTCGGAAGCTTCACTAGTTAGTATAGCAAACATCGACGACGAAAAGGATAGACTTACCTTTGCTGGCGTTTTTCTCGTAAATGCCTGGGACTGGACGAAAGGTTCTAAGCTGTGTATTAGATTCGGCTCGTAGTAATATTGACCCTGAAGAACAAATGAAAAGAACTTTGCTTGGTCAATGAAAAAAAGTTTGCTTGACAAATACCTTTTTAACAGATTTTAGCCAGTTTCTGAGCACCGGAAGCAGCGCCAGCAGCTTTCCAGGCTCTGCCTGAGCCGCTCTCGCGTTTTGTAGCGCATGGTGAAGTTCGTGCAGCTGACCTCTCTGTTCTTTCTCTCTTAGATGAGAATCCAATATCTCCTCGTCTCGTCTTGCCAGTTCTCTGAAATCATTAAACTAAGCCCAGTAGTTCAGCCCCGGTATTTGGAACTTTATACCGTTTTAGTTCCTGGTGCTGACCTTCTTAAGCAAGAGACTTTGTTCAACGCGTCGTCAAGGCTTTTCTTCTGCTTCTCAGATTGCCTGGCAAGAAATTTAGTTCGAAAAGCGGGCTTGGGATGATGACGCACGTACCTCTGCTTCTTTTTCATAGAAAAGAGCTCCCTGCTCAAATTTTCTTTATCCTGCTTGAGCTTTTGCATTTGCTTCTTCAGAAAATCAACGTTTTGTTTCGCTTGGTTGTTTGTAACCAAGGAAAACTCTTTCGTCGTTGGCGGCTGTAGAAGTTTCACATTGATATGACCGTTTCCGGTAGTCGTCATCTGCTGCCGATACTGAGATTTCATGTTTAGCATCATCATTTTCATTTCAACTATCTGCAATAAGCAAAAAGAAGAATTTAGAAGACCAAATAGAAGAAATGTTGGCATACAAACAAAACTTGCCTTGACTTCATACTCCGTAGAGCACTCCAGTAGAGCAATCTGCAGCTCTTCAATTTTAACCTTGTAGTCGTCTAAAAGTTCCTGCTTTTCCTGTAATGCGAGTGAGAAAGAAAGCAAGCATGTTAAAGCGGCAAACCTTCGTGACTTCTTTCTTCTTGGTGTAGGAAATAAGCTCCCGAATGTTCTGGTCACCTGGATTAAATGTTTCAAGAGTTAACTTAGAAAGCACCGATCTAAGCCTTCTCACCGACGATTGTAGTTGTTTCGGTCCAATCGTCCACTTGATTATTCAGTACTTGAGGAGCACTCCTGTCATCGCCACTGTACGATTCCTTACAAGCAGACTCGGTTCTCTCCGATAAACTTCCATGACGGACTTCTACAGCATCTTTTCCGACGTCATTTTCCAGCTCGTAGTGCAGCATCTGGTCAGCGTATTGTTGAGCCGGTTCTTTTGAAGCCCCTGTCATCACTGGCTCGTCAATTGAAACCAAAGTAGCCTTTTTCTTCGGAAGTTCTTGAGAATATGAAGTACAAGTGCTGGTCAACTCCTGGATTCGCTCCACAGCACACTCAAGCCTGGGAGTTATTCCAATAGCGCTGCTGCCGTCCTCACTAGTCTGAGCGTTGTCCCGATCGGTTCTAGACGACGCACACTGAAGGTCCCCGTCAACACTGCTGTTGACATGGTTACTCTTCAAGTACCAGGAGGAATTCACAACGCCATCGGGTTCCTGGCTCTTGGTCACCATCTCAGCTCGGGTAATCCCTCCGAAGTTGGGAATGACCATCTCGTTGAGTAGCCCAGCCGACCCTGTAAAACTACCCATCTCCGCTCTACCTGCGTTACTATTGCCACTACCATCAATGGCTGCTGGTGCAGTGCTAGTACGTTCCACAACCTGAGGCGAAGAAACTGCTTGATCCAAATGCTTCCAAGTTGGCCTTGCAGAACTCTTGGACGAAGTGGCCGTATTACTCCTGCTGCCGGTGTAAGGCCTGATGATCCTCGACTCCTTTGCGTGGTTCCATTGGACAACCATCTTTTCGATCCCGTTGGCTATTTGCTCTATCACGGTGTAGTCGAGAGCTCGAGGCCGGCCATGAGACCTGCTACTTCTCACTTGAGGCTTGACGTAGATGCGAGCCATAACTCTTTCGTTTTTCTGTTTCCTTGCGAAAAGAGTAAAAGCCGTCCGCAAAAACAGGGGATGTTCACAACCGTGTGAAGAACAGTTATAGTCGGTAACCGTTGCTGACGTCAAGCGAATATATGAACCATCCTATACGAGAAAAAAGAGAACCAGTAGTGAGTCCAATCTAGAAGAAGAAAGATCAAGCGTAAACGTATTGAAGATGTAAACGTACATTTTCTCTGATGATCTTTCTTCGCTTCTATCTCAGTAAAAGCTCCAGAAGTTCAAAAAACGTGCGCTCTTCACTTGATTGTCCCTCAACGGAGATGTTGTCCATGGTGGCTCGGATCTCGGAGGCCAAGCCCGTGTTGGCATTCAGCTCGTCCAGTAGTCTCGGGAGCAGGACAAGAACTTGTAATCCTCCCCTGAGAAAGGAGACGATGTTTGGTTTCGAGCGAGAGAGCTCCACAAGTTTAACCTGAAGGACGCAGCATAATTTGTGAAGACAACAAGAGATTTTAGCAATACCTTTGACTCTAACGAGATTCCCGCCTTCTGTTTGGCAATTGCAACAGCCTTGGAAAAACCACCAAGAGTGTCCACTAGCCCGCGTGCTGCTGCGGCTTTCCCGGTCCATACACGCCCTTGTGCTACCTCTTCCATTTTTTCAATCTGGAAAATGCGTTTAGGACTCACATCTACTAAAGGCAGAAGTGTGGCTTACTTGCATCGATCTGGAGAGTGCTGCAGTGTCTCTGAAACGTTTGTACGCTGTCTTTGCAGATTTTCCAAAAAACTCCGCTTCTTCGGGTCTAAAAGAGGCCGGATGTCACGGCATGAAGGGAAAAATTGGAACGCAAACCTGAATGGTCTTTGTTCAGCGTCCAGCTCCGCGAATTTTCCTCTTGAAATAACCTCTTTGGTAAAGCCTACTCTCTCGTAAAGCTTACCGAGATTAAGTTTTCCTGTACAAACACTTTAACCACGTTCCTGAGGAAGTAAATTAGTGTACCAGTAACGACCCCAATTGAGCCAGTAAGTGTAAGGCGTTCAGCAACTATTACCCCAGCTGCCATAGCCATATAGTAGCCTCCGCTTGCTGCTACGTCCACCATAGAAGCAATCACTGGTTTTTTCGCTGCCAACAGCCTCAACTCCCTCCACATGCTTCGCTTTCTCAAAAAACACAAAATCAGCACCATTGCTATCATAAACATTAAAACTTACAGGTCCGATGCAAGTGCATCACCTCCAGGACTATCAATTCTGAGAACAACGGCTTTAAAGTTCTTGGCCTCTGCATAAGTTGAAGTCAAGAAAAAAATGGAAAACGTCTGTCTAAACAAGAAAAAGACCTCGTACTTGCCGAATCTGCTCAATGAATGTGTCGCTAGAAATGCCACTTCCAGTGAAGCCCATTTGCTTTTGCCGGGAGATATTACCGACAGCTCGTAGGACTGCAATATCGGCCTTGCCTCCTGACAAGCCTAAGGTCCACTCTCGCACTCTTGAATATTTCCTACAAAAGAAAAAAAATATGTTCAACCGTTCAAAGGAAAGTTGAAAGGAAGATTGACGAACGGCTCACCTGTAGTCGACGTACTTGGGACTTTTGTCATCCTTTATTTGAAGCTTTGCCTTGAGCATCTCCTCAATCTAACATCAATCAGCAAATTTTGAGGGCATTTGAAAAACGCTAAAGAACTACCTGGTCTTCGTATTTCACGTCGCTGATCCACCCTTGCTGATGTAGCTTTTCTATCTCAAATATGCCCTCCTCAAGCAAGTTCTCCACCTCAGCCGTTGTTTTACCTGCGAAGATATTGACTACTTAAACTCTAGAAAGTAGACTGTACCTCTTACAGATGCGATACGGTCGAGCCAGTTCTCGTACACATCATCAAGAATAGCTGTAAGCATTTCTCGATTTGCATCGGACATATCTTTACGAGAGAGTAAATCTCCAACGCTTTTGTACTTTCCAATACGTTCAATTTGTGGCTGTACCCCGATTTTCTCAAGCACACCTGAAAATGCGAGCAATGTTATCTCTTTTCATAAAGTGAAAGAAACACTAGCTACTCACCACCAACAAATTGCGCTTGGACTTTTAAGCCAAGCAAAGAAATGTATGCTCCAGGTGGTGCAAACACGTCCCCACAAGAACACGCAAGGTAGTATTCCTTTTCCCCACCTACTGCTAAGTAACCAACAAGTGGTTTGCCTGGTATAAAAAAGATGAGAAATTGAGAAACAAGGAATAAGCACATCACCAGATTGCTTGTAGTACTCAATATGTCGACAAATCTCATCAACTTTGGGCCATCCACATGAAAGAGGCTCCACCTGAACGATCACTGCTGCTATGCGAGGATCATGAGCAGCCTTGATCAGATTTTGACAGATTTGTGGAAGCGACATGCCTGGTTGGAACTTATCTTGTAGCTGCTCTGTGATCTAGATAGACAGATGAAAGAACTAAATACCATCACCATTCGAAAAAGTACGTACCTCGCCCGAGATCTTCATCTTTAAAATGCTTCCTTTCTTGACCCTCTGCCATGGCCACGCGATCAGCATCTTGAGCTTTATCAAGAAAACTTGCCAACCATTGGCTGCATGAAACTCGAGCTCGCCGGAAGGGTAATCCTCTTGTCCCGCTGGAGCTGCCGCTCCATTTCCCCCGGCTAAAGACTCCTCCTTTGCTCTGTCACTAGTTGTATCGGCCTCGGACGTCTCAAATGCGCGGCAAGCCACGAACTTTCTAGATGACGATCGTCTGCTCGAGCACCGGGGATCGTTCCAGCACCGTCCATTCACAGCGATCTGAAAGCCAAAACGCTTCTAAGAAATGTTTCACTGGATAGAAATACTCACGATTCTCAGGTGCCTGGCATTGTAGTGGAGCGTAGAAGAAGGCAAACAAGCCGACGCCAGCGACACCTCCGCCGCTGCTGGATGCGAAACAATCAAAGCACTGGAGCGCCTGGTCGAGAACACGGTGTCGAAGAGCGCCGCATTCCTCGACATTCTTCCTAGCCCTAGCTACGATCGATCGTCGCGCCTTGCCAGATATCCCTACCGCGCCATCGCTCGCGAAACCCCAAGCTCCCAATCCCTAAAATTCGAACAATGGCGCTCAGAGAAACACGACCAGTGGCAGTGCTCCTCTCCACCCATGAAAGAGGCATCAGAAGTAGAATATTCTAGAGTGTGGTCAAGCTAATACCAGCCATTGGATTCATCCAGACGTTTATTGAGCTTAGTTCTTAAAAAACACGCCATTGGAGAGAGAGAAGAGCGCGATCGAGAGGCGCGGCGAGGGCGAGACGCTGCGTAATCTCCATCCGGACGGCATAGCTCCCAGGTATGAGCGCCGGCAATCCGCCATGGATTCTCGCCAAGATTTCACACTGGATCCCTTGTTTCGCCTCCGCTAGGCATTGAATCCCTCGCGCGAGGTCTCCAGGAGTAATGGCGGACCTGGCCGATGTCCCCGTGGACGATCTCATGGGAGAACTCCTGAGGAGAATGAAATGCGCGAACAAGCCCGAAAAGCGCCTGATCCTTGTCGGTAAGAACGAGAATACTTCTTCTTCTACTTCTTTCTTATCGATCGATTTTTAGGTCCGCCTGGATCGGGCAAGGGCACGCAGTCACCGATCATCAAAGACGAGTTTTGCCTGTGTCATTTGGCCACAGGAGATATGCTCAGGGCTGCCGTCGCGGCAAAGACTCCTCTTGGGATAAAGGCAAAAGAGGCCATGGACAAAGTAACGACGTGTTTGCTTCTTTTCTGATTCCCGGCATTGATTGTTCGCCTTGTCGATGTTCCAGGGAGAGCTCGTTTCGGACGACTTGGTTGTGGGAATTATTGACGAGGCGATCAAGAAGCCGTCGTGCCAGAAAGGCTTTATTCTGGACGGATTTCCTCGGACAGTGGCGCAAGCCGAAAAGGTATTTTCTCTGTGTATATGGTTAGCGTGCTCTATTTGATTTAGCTTAGTGTTTTTTCCTCAGCTGGACGCGATGCTAGAAAACCAGGGAAACAAGATCGACAAGGTCCTCAACTTTGAAATCGCGGACCCCGTCCTGGAGGAGCGCATCACCGGGAGATGGATCCACCCAGCAAGTGGAAGGTCTTACCACACAAAGTTCGCCCCGCCGAAAACTCCCGGCGTCGATGACGTACGTTTCCGTTTCTCTTTTTTTTTTCAGCTTTCTCTTTTGTGTAAGAGTACCTATCCGTATGCATTGCAGGTGACCGGAGAGCCGCTGATCCAACGCAAAGACGACAATGCAGCCGTCCTGAAGAGCAGGCTCGACGCATTCCATGCACAGACAGAGCCTGTGAGTCCCTTGTGCTTTTCAGAGCTTTCCCTCGTTTCTCTTGGGCTTAGTTAGATCAATTGACAGGTGATAAACTACTACAACAACAAGAATCTCGTTGCTCATCTCCACGCGGAGAAGCCGCCCAGCGATGTCACAGCCGAAGTCCGGAACGCTCTCAAATCGTGATCCAAGTTTGCTCGTTCGCCAACAAATAAGAACATGCTGCCATAACGCGCCAAGCTGAACTTATTTTGGTTTCTTTCTTTCTGAGCTTCCGGAGGCTCTGGCAATTTTTGCAGTTAAATTGAGACAAATTCTTTGAAATCCTTTGAAATCGCGAAGCAAACAAAAGAGCAAACGTGATATTGCCGTCAACAGCAGGACTTGAACCTGCGCGGGCGTTACCCAACAGATTTCAAGTCTGTCTCCTTAACCACTCGGACATGTTGACATTAGTCATGCGTTCTAGATTGAAAGATATTGAATCCTTCCACCCAAAAATCTTGACAAAGCCAAAAAAAAATCTTCGCCCATGCACCCCGCACCGCTCCATTTCAATAACATTTCACACCAACTTGAGTGGAATGTCTGCGTGCTCGCGTGGTCCCAAAACAAATCTATTATCAAGATCCAGCGCTCACGCAAGCAGCTAGCGCCGCCAGCCAGCCAATCTTGACGTGAACTCCAGAAAAATCCAAGAGCTACTCTGACTGACTTTTTGACTAGAGTGGACTAAAGTCAGTCAGCATTTGTGTGAGTGGAAAGGTTCTTCCGGGACTCTTGTTTGATTCAAGTGATTGGAAAGTTCT